CCTGGAAAACTCCGCCAATCAAACAGAGCCTTAGAATCTTTCTCTACTATAATATCATATTGGATCTATCAATCTAAAGTTTAAGCTTTTAATTAGAAAAGAGCTACAGTTATTTATTAAATTAGCATTGAACGCGCCCATTAACGTGTAAATCGAATTCATTGTTTAACAATGAATGTTGAGTCGGTATTACTCATTTTAGTGTGCATGAAAACATTACTTTAGGCGCAGATTAATAGTCATTTGTGTGCCTTGAAATTAATAACATATCAAAGACAGGCATGGTAATAGGGGAGGCATTAGCTTACATCTATTATCGACACACATTTCATTCGGACAAAATCTAGCCAAGTGCCTTCAAGTGGTCACGCTTAGCTTAAATAATCCTATGCGCCTTCATCACTAGATCGACTTGTTAAAAATATATGGAGGTTCGAATTTGAAGTCAAATGTAACCATTCCCACCAACCTATATCAAACCCACAAGAGCGACCATCCCTTTCCAGCATTAACGAATTCCTCTTGTAGTAGCTTCTAAGAATGCTTTTCAATAAGCTTGTATATAGTATATTCTCCATTGCTAGAGAAATTCTCTTTTAACAAAATATGAATGAATTGCAGAAGGCAAAACATCAATGCATTAAGCGTACAGCGAATTGCTCAACGTTATGATTAACACATTTATTATACTATTGCGTATCAAACCGGAGGAGAATCTACTATTTCATACGGCCATATCTCTTGATTACATAAACGAAGTTCTCTATGATTTTTCCGCATATATTCTTCATGTTCCTTTCTAAGACATATTGACCATGAAATCATCGAAGTACGAAATATAGGGAGAAAATTGGCCAGCCTCCTCTACTGGTAACAAATAATTAGTTTCATTGGGTTCGTTCCAGAAATTTCCCAGGAATCCAGAATCTGAAGAGTTGACATTATCATCTCCAATCCCATGAAGATCACTCGGCATAGAAAAATCTGGGAATGATAATTCACTAAAATTCAGTTCACTGGATAATTCAAAAGGGTCGGGCACAGCTGCTAACATGTTTGCTTGGTTGTTATATGTAATAGGTAGAAATGTTTCAGGCCAGGAGTTATCTTGGGAAACTGCAATTGAATCCAAGGAAGTGTTGTCACAAGCTATCCATTTGGCAGAATTGGGAGATAGCATTAGTTTTTCCGATTCCTTTAGGGTTTGGATTCCAGAAGGTGAGTTTTCAATAGTCTGTGCTACTTCCACTTGGGTTGCAGCTTCCTTTCGTTTATTGCATCTCTTCATACGAGTATGCCAATAGTTTTTGATTTCATTGTCAGTTCTTCCAGGCAACTTTGCAGCAATGGCAGACCACCTGCATTTTTATAGTTAGGGATAGAGCAATTCGCTGTTGTGCCTATGAAACAGCTTGTTAAATTAGCAGCAAATTTACGTCTATCCCAGGAAGAATACAGATTTATGTTTAAATTTTCAGCTTCGTCAAATACAACAACTTGTGAGAATGCTAGATTTTATGTTATCAATTTGTTTTCAAGAACAGAAGGACTGTAATTTATTCAAGAAGTTTAGAGTTAGAGTGATAAGAATTTCTCACTTGTTCCCCAGCTGATTATGTAATTCCATGACAAAATTCTCTTCCTCTTTAGTGAAGTTCCCCCGTTTAAGACCGGGTTTCAAGTAATTCACCCATCGTAATCTGCAGCTCTTTCCACATCTTGCTAAACCTGCACTTAGATTGACAAGTATTAAATTAAACTTCAAGCTCTCTCTCTCTCTCAATTACATTGAATATCAAATCTTCTCTATGATATTCACATAGATAGATAGATAGATAGATAGATAGATAGTGTTGACCCCAAAAAATGGTTCTTTATCGTGTCCAACAGAAGATTTGAGAATCAGGTCTTTATCGATCGGATTGCCACATATTCTACTCCAGACACTAACTATATCTCTGAGTCATCGTTTCTTATGATGTGGCTGTCTTCTTTTATGTGGAGAGGGGGTTGACCGGTCTATAGCAGGGAGAATCCAAGTTTTTCTTTTAATGTCTAAAATTGCATTGTCCTCTACCTTCTAGAGTCTACGCTTTTTATATCTCCATCTGAGTGAAGGGGATCCATCTGATGGTAAAGGATCCAAGGGTCCTTGCTAGAGTCAATCAATCAATGAAGCCTTAGATTTCCTTATCTTTTTCCTGACACGATCTGACTGCGTAGGTGTGGAGACGGCGCTGACAGAGCGTTGTCTTGTCAATCACTTCATTCGATATTTTGTCAATTGACTTGCCGCCTCGTCAGAGGTGAGATGACGCTTTCGTTGACGGGGCTCTGATGAGAACCATCTGGGGTGAGATCGCTTCGGTATACACAGGGTCGCCTGTTAGTTCTACCACCCTTGGGTTCGCGAGCTTGTCACGTGGAATTTTATATTATGATTATTTATATGAGTAAGATAGACAGATAGATAGGTAGATAGATAGATAGATAGATTAAACAGCAGAATTTACTGTTTAAAACTTAAAAGTAGTAGTTAGGTTAAAGAAATAAGTGGAAGGAAATTAGCGAATTTCAAGGAAATAATGCAATTCTCCATTGTTTCTTCTATAATATTAGCAGGAATTAAGGAGAACAGAATAAA